TCATTTATATGAATATGTTTCTTATGGGGCTCGGGAGATAGCTCAGTAGAATAAGTGCTTGCCTGGCAAGCACCAGGGCCTGAGTTCAATCCCTGAAAAAAAAAAAAAAAAAAAAAAAAGATGAATATGTTTCTTAGAAACACTTGATTATAAATAAAACTTTGTCATTTTTGTTTTATATTGCTTGTAGTCAGGGGCTTGGAAGGGGAATAATTTAATACAGGGCACATAAATTGCAAGATTATTTTATAATAGTCACCCAAAGACTTTAATACAAGAGTATGGGAAATCTGTCTACATAATGAACACCAAAAAAATCTAACTGAGGGCCTGCATCCCAGGGCAGTGTCCTGTATGAGTCCAGCTGAAGACCTAGAGGCCATAACAGTGCCTCACGCGAGTCCAGTTGGAGGCCAAGAACCCAGGACAGTGTCTTACACAGGCCCACTGCACAGATCTGCACTGGGAACGCCCAGAGGTCAGTGGTGGAAGCTAGAAAGTCTGTGCCAGTGAGATGGAGGATCTGTGCTAGCAGGCTGAGGGATGTGCACTGGAGTCAGAAAGCAATGCTCAAACTAAGAACCAGAACTCCTTTGAAAAGTACCACAAATACCCTCAGCAACGAGGTCCCAAGGTCCTCCAACGATGAGAACAGCCACGTTTACATCAGGAAAACCAGTGCAACAAGCTTCTCCAGGAGACTGAACAGTGCACCACCTTCCCCTCCGGAGCCAGGAAGCAATGCTCGTAGGACCAGAGCTCCTCCAAAGTGAACTGCAGCCATTCTGAGTGACAAGGTCCTGAGCTTTGATGATGATGAGCACAGCTGTGTGCATATCAGGAAAGAGCATGACAGGCTTCTCCAAGAGAACCAGCAGCTCCCTAACAGCTTACTTTTTCCTCTCCAGTTCTAGTTTTTATTTTGTTGGTAACATTCTCAGGTGGGCCTCCCACATGTAGCACCACACTGGTTCATTTCAGCTGGGTGTTATAAGTTGACCACTAATTGTCAGTTGATCACAATATTCTGCCACAATATTTAACATATATATATTCTGCCAAGTAATACTGATTTGTTTTCTTGAATTTATCAGAGTAGGATTTCCCAAATTATTTTCTTTCTTTCTTTTTTTTTTTTTTTTTTTCGGAACCGGGTATTGAACTCAGGACCTTGCTCTTGCCAGGCAAGCGCTTATTCTACTGAGTCAACTCTCTGACCCCCCCAAATTATTTTCTAATGGAGGTTTTTTTTTTTTTTAATTTTAAGAGAGAATAAAAATAGAAGCAAAACAGTTTCAAATCAGGTTAATAGAGTAACAATAATTAATACATTGCACATTGTTATAGTAATTACTCAGTCTGATAGAGTTTTAAGGGTGCTGTATGCTCAAATAAATTTGGGAAGTGTGCCACTTTTTATTCTTCGAGCGTCACAGCTGACAACTGCATGCATCTTCTGCATTGCAGTACATAGAATGATTGGTTACCTTATGCCAGTGATAGCAAGCCCTTTAGAATTTTCAACAATAACAAATAGCCAGCTGTGCCATGGTGCCTTAGATTCGCCCCTACAGCACTTTCCCTGTTTATTTTACCAAAGAATCTGTAAAGATCTCAAGGAAGGTCAATACTCTGTAACACACTTTCTGGGAAGTACTAAATTGCAGTCATATGGTTTTTACTAATATAACAGTTGTTTTGGCCTTTTTCAACTTCTTTTTCTTTTCCCCTGTTTAGGACTTAGAATACCTGTCTGAGGGCCTTGAGGGCCGATCATCCAATCCAGTTGCAGTACTTTTTGATACACTTCTTCATCCAGATGCTGACTTTGGGTACGATTATCCATCCATTTTGCATTGGAAATTAGAGCAACATCATTATATCCCTCACTTAGTTCTCGGTAAAGGTCCACCTGGTGGGGCTTGGCATGTGAGTATATTTTCTTCGTATTTTAATTGTATGTGAATTACTTGTCCTGATAAAAATAACTTCATCCTTAAGTATAGTGATAATTCTGTTATATGTGATATTCTTACATTCATATCTGAGAGTTTTAATGCTGTATGGTTCAGTTAAGTATAGGTCTATTGCTTATAACAGCTAAGCCTTTTTTTGACCAGGAATCAAGCTCACAACCTCCTGCTTGCCAGGCAGGCTTTGTGCTGCAGAACTATTTCCCTGGCAGCTAAGCCAAATTTTATTAGGAGTGTAGTCTTAGACTAGGCATTTCCCTGTGTTTTTTTTTTTTTTTTTTTCTTTTTGTAGCACTAAGGATTAAACCCAGGGCCTTATATGTGCTGTGCACATACTCTACCACTCATCCCCATCGCCTTTTATTTTTTACTGTGAGACAGGGACCTGCTAGGTTGGCCCTTTGAGTGCTTTAAGACCTAACTGCCTCAGCCTCATCAATAGCTGGGATAACAGACATGCGCCACCACACCCAAGTTTTCTTACAGAGTCATTAGTCCCCTGATAAAGACCTACTCTAATGACTTCACCTGACCTTAGTTATCTCCCAAGTCTCATCTCAAATTATATCCAGTTGAGGATAGGAGCTTCAACGTAAGAATTCAGAAAGTAGGACAACAGGATTTAGTTAATAGCAGGGGTAAAATTAGAGAAACAATAAAAGACTCATCCATTACATTTCACTAGGTGAGGGGGGCAGTAGGTGATAAGTATTTTTTTGTCCTGTGTCCTTTGCAGTTAACACAGTGTCTAGCATTGTCGCTGTGCCGTGAGTATTCATATGTTGTACAGATGTTAATTTAGTTTGCAATATTATGAAATACATGCTTCATGGAAACTTAACATACAGGATGTCAGAATTGTAATACAAACTTCAGTTGGCTGTTTATGTATTATTGCACTGTTATACATTAAAAGTTTTTTTAAAAAGGGACTATTTCAGGGTATCAGGATGCATTCTTAGAGCAAAATATGACTAATATTTTAAAAAATCTTAATTCTCTTTATGATATAGCATCTACTAAATTGTCTGTGCCTTTTGCTATTTGTTTCCTACTTTTTATTTTATTTTTTTCATTTATGTATTTGGTACAGGGTCTCACTATGCAGCTCTGATTTGTAGTGATCCTGTTTTCAGCCTTCCCAGCCCTGGGATTATAGGGGTGTGCCACCACACCCAGCCACAGGGGCAGGGCTGACAAGGCATGCAGGATAGGGATCAAACCCTGGTGCCTGTGCTTACTGAAGCAGGTGCTTAGTCTGCTGAGCTATCTCGCTGGCTCTTTGTTTTCTACTTTTTAAAATTAACTGTATTGAAGCATAACTAATTTATAATAAGTGGCATGGATTTAAAATGTATAATGTGGTGAGTCATGACAACTATAACAGCAAAACCACTGATACAAGATAAGAAACCTCCATTGGGCCCTAGACAGTACTTGGCAAGCTTTTCTATTCCTTAGTAAGTTCTTCTCAAAGCTGTTTAGAAATGCTCTTAGTTCTCATTTTGCAGACCAAATAGAATTTAGAACTTCCACATTTTCATGTTCAAACTACGAACTTACCTATAGTCATGCTGTCTTGTTTCTTGTTACAACTGAAGAGTCTCATCTTCCAGCTATATTTTGGACCCCAATCTTCTCAAGGACATTCTTTCTTTTCCTGTATCTTCAGTTTCTCTGCCAGCTTTTTTTGGTCATTTTGTAAATATGCTAAAATTATTTCTTAAAATTTTTTTAATGTTTTAATCTGTATCTTTTCCGTTAGCTGCAGTTTTTGAGATGTTTACCTGTATGTATTGTCTTCAGGCCTGTACCTCCCATTCCTCATTCCAGCCTCTGTTGGCTGGTTTTCCACAGGGCTTAGTCTTTTTAAAGGTCAGTAAACTCCTGTTTTTGCTTAATTAGATGTGGGGTTTCAAAACTTCCTGAACTCTGCAGCATTTGACAATGCTACTGAATATTTCAGGTTCTTTGAACTTTGTCTTCTTGATTTCCTTCCTCACTGGTCATCCCTCTTCAATTAGCTTTTGTGGAGCTTTGCTCTTTAACATTGCTTCCACCTCTAACATGCAGGGTGACATATGCCTATAATTCTGGTACCTAGGAGGCTGAGACAGGGGAATCAGGAAGAGTTTGTGATCAACCTGGGCTCTATAATGATGGTAGTCTAGTCTGAGTTACGTAGTGAGACCCTTTTTCAAAAGACAGACAAATAAAACATGCTTCTACACACTGTATCCCAAGCCATTGTCCTCTTTTTATACTCTGGATCATCTGTCTCATCTGTTTCAGTGACTTCGAAATGCATGCTGATAGATTCCCAAATAAAAGTTTCTGATCCCCATTTCTCTTTTTCATGTATTTTCCTTAATGATTGCAAATGTGTCCAGGAACTCAGCATGCATAAAACTGTTCTTACCATCTAATTCTTTTATTATTAAATGGCATTATTGTTAGTCAAGTCAGAATTCTGAGACTCTTAACTTGATTTTTCTGTCTTCAGCTCTCATATCAAATTAATCACCAGATCTTTTCCATTCTCATTTTGTGTTTTTTTGAGGTAGGACCTCACTAAGTCACGGAATGTTTAGGCTGGGTTTGAACTTTTAATCCTTTTGATTCGTCTTCTAGAGGGCTTGGTTTTTCTTTTATATTTGTTCTTTCTTTTTCTGTTCTTTTTGCTGCCCCTTGAACTCAGGGCCTCACACATGCTGAGTACATGCTTTATTACAGATTTCTTTTTTTTTTTTTTTTTATTTTAATATTTATTTATTTTTATTTATTACATTTATTTATTGTGTGTGTGTGTGGCCAGCTCAGCCCACCAGGGGGCGGGTCTGGCTGGCATGTGGTGCTGGGGATCGAACCGCGGTCCCTGTGCTTTGCCAAGCTTGTTTCAAGTAGGCGCTTTAGACCACTGAGCCATCTCTCCAGCCCCTTTATTACAGATTTCTAACCCATCCTTTTTTTTTTTTTTTTTTTCATTTTGAGACAGGTCTTGTTTAGGCTGTCCTTGAGCTCACTTCTAGCCTAGGCTGAACTCATACTCGCAATGATCCTTCTGCCTCAGCCGCCAAAACCATCCATGGTTTTTTTTGGTGGTACTGGGGATTGAACTCAGGACCCTGTGCTTGCTAGGCAAGCTCTTTTTCTACTGAGCCATCTCCCTGTCCCTGCCATGCATTTGATGAATGTATTTTGAGTCCATCTACTTTACTACTTTTACAGATTATTGTATAATTTTTGTAAGTGCTTTTCCCACTCTTTCTTCTTCACTGACTCTTCATACCAAAGCCAGAACTGTCTTGAGACACATCTGTTGTTATAAACCTGCATTCCACTGTTAAAATTATTACCCACCTGAAAAAAAGAAAAGAAAAAAAATTATTCCCCATTGACTAATGTATAACGTGCAAATCCCCTAATACATTTCATTATACTTGACATGATTTAGCCCCTACTTAGCTTCATCCTCTTCTTTTTTCCTCCCTCCCCGTCTCTAGAGCGTTTTATGCTCTAGTAGGCTTTGTATTAAGGAGAGCAAATTCATGCTTAGCTCAATGATTGACTGATATTTGTAAGACTCAGAAAAGATGGTATGCTTATAGTTTCAATTTGTTCCAATAAGTGGTTACAGATTAGCAATAAGAAACCGCTTCTGGAAAGCTCTTAAGGAGAAAGCTAGTAGGGAAGTGCTTTAATCTCCTAGCAGTGGATAATGCTGCTTGTGTAGAGTTGCCAACCAGGAACCCCACTCATTCCTAGTGCACAGGGATTTTTGTGGCTTGCATTCATAGGCCAGTAGTGCCAGTGTGTCTGACCTCAGCTACTCAGGCCTCTGCCACCCAAGCAAAAACTGGTATTCACTACCAGTCACATTTTATTACAATAAATGTACATGGTTGCATGGTATAGCATGGCCAACATGTTAGACATACAAAAATCACACTCATCAAGTAAAATATCCAAAAGGTTTGGCTCAGACATTATCCCCTAGAAGCCAGTGGACAAGACCTGCTTCTGAAGACAGGCCATTCTTAGTAATGTGAACTGATAAGAGTAACCCAGGCCTGCTGAGTTTATCCTTTTCCTGCATGGGACTCAGTATCTTCATTCCTTGTAGGACATATAGTGTTTTTCATTATTAAGCATAGGTCATACTAGTCTTTATTTTAGTCTGCAGTAGTCACCCTTTCTAGGTATGTACTGTACTAGGAAAATACTTTGAGCCACATCCCCAATCCCAGTATATTCCCTTTCTAGTGGTACTCCTTAGAACCCATTTTTACCCTTGAAGAAATAGATATTTGCATGTTCCTGTAGTACTTCTGTCTTATCTGCTTCTCTTAATACATTACAGTCTCCATGATAGCAGATATTCATGGCATATAGTTTGGTACTGGGGAAGGAAGGCCATTTGGCAGCAAAATGAAGAGCACAAGGAGCTAGGGCTGTCATCCGCCTGGAAGAGTTGGTACAGAGATGATATGGGGATTGATCCCAAAAGTGGAGTTATGCGTGAAGGTTTACAAGAGTTGTAGGTTAGACTGTTATGGGTCCAAAAAATATCACACATGTAAAATTTTTTAATTTCTTTTAGTTATTGAGCGTCTAGATTCTGATTTAGTTTTCAGCATTAGTCCGCCTCTAAGCACTGGCAGCTTGCTGCATTCTTTCTCTGTGGGTATCTGTGTAATGATACAAATAATACTTCCCAGGGCTTATGAAGTAGTAAGTACTCTGTTAATTAATAATAATATATACCTATTCCCAGTGCCAAGTTATATAGAAATAGAACAAAGGGGGTTTTGGGAAAATGAGCTATTGTCTAAAAGGGTTAAGAAGTCCTTGGGAGAGGTGCCTTGAACATTGGCTTTTTTTTAAGCAAAGCAAAAGTAAGTAGGCCAGGGAAGCTTGAAGGGCTCCCTTCTCTGATGATAACATTAGCCCAACAATGAATCTGTTTCTCAGGCAACCACTGCTTATTTTTCTATTCTTAGGAAGTGATGCTGCTGCATACAGTCAGCCAAGACTTTAGAATTATAATTGATGGAGAAAATCATTTCCTTTAATTTTTGAAAATCTGTAAAATTAAGGTGGAAAACATTTAAAGTTATGAAAATGAACATTTTTTTCTTTTGTTTAAAAAGCAAGAACATTACATTTGTTCCTTAACATGTTCATCTGAATTACTATGTTGATCACAGGCCAAGCCCTGAGCATTGTGTAAGCCCTGGATAATGCTATAAATTTGTTTATAAATGCGTAAGTACATGAAAGAAGTGCTAAAGGTAAAATGAAATGAAGAAAGGGTATACAAGTTTATTAGAATAAAGTTTAGAACTAATTTGTACAGCCATTTAGGATGGCTTTGAGCACACTTTCTCCAGTGGCTTAATTATAAATAAGATAGATTTGGCTTAAAAAAGAATCTGAGAGGGCTGGGGAGATAGCTCAGTAGAATAAGCGCTTGAAGGGCCTGAGTTCAATCCCTGGTTCCACCAGAAAAAAAAAGAATCTGAGTTACTGCCTAATTGCATTTATATTTTTAACTTTCCTCTTTAATTCTAATAGAATATGGAAGGCTCCATGTTGACAATCAGCTTTGGAAATTGGATGGAGCTACCTGGACTGAAATTTAAAGATTGGGCATCTAGCAAACGAAGGTAAAGACCACACATTGTTAAAATTCTTTGGTGTATGATGAAGCAGAAACTTTTGGAAAATTACCCAATAACTGTGATCCTCTTTTGGATGAAAAGTATAAATGTACATGTCTTTCAAGTAAAAGTGCTTCCTTGAAGCACTGATTGTAATGAAATGGTTTTCATTTAAAGATGTTATAAAACTAAGCACACAGGTAAAGGATTGTTTACAGATTGGTTTCCTGTGACTTTAACGATGGATTTTTGTCTCTTGTGTTAAATTGCTTTGTCTTGTTCTTGTCTACCCAGGTATCATTTTCTACACTTTTACTTATTTTTATGAATGTATATGTAACTTCATTTATGCTTATCTCATGAGTAGATACCTACAGTATTTGACTTTCAGGGTAAGAGTATCTTATTTTATGATTGAATTTAGAATGATGAAATAAGCTAGAATCTCAGATGTGGTTAATTACTTGGCTATGAAGGTAAATATTTTCCTACTAAAATAGGAGTAAGAAAAAAAATACTATCTTGGAAAAATGTTTTTATTTTGGAGCAGAGAACCTAAAATTAAAAAATTATGAAAGTCCCTATTATTTCCAATAATAGTAAATATTAAATTAGATAGGATCTACTAATGTAGAGAACTGACTCTAGTTTGACCGCTATGGGAAGAAGCAAGACAAAGCAGGAAGTTAATTGGCCGAGTTAATTAATCTATGCTAGGGCAAGGATCTAACATTTGAGTACGTGACTTCCTGTTAATTTATAGAGATTTTCCTGTACTTGAGATAGAGCAAATGAGATCATCATGGGTAGAGAGTCAACCTTCAAAAAAATCTTTTTAGGCTTAAAAAAAGAATTATACATTGGCTTGAAATTTAAAGTTTGTAAAGGCAAGTTGTACAAGTTCTTGATTTCTATAATTAAGCAAGGAAAATTTCTCAACATGTTCTTCCTTTTGTAAAATGAGTAGGAAAAGGGAAAGCTTTCTCAGTTTTGCACCAGAAGCATTTAATCTTCCTAAAATATGCTACTGCCCTTTGAATAGTGTGTGGCATCAAATCTTGTGGTAAGTATTGGCTTTAGTCCCTGCCTTTGTGCAGTGTGGGGAGCAGACTCATGTGTCTTGGAGAAGGGTGGGTCCTGAGCCCAGGCGAACTTCCCATGTTGTAACTGAGCAATTAAACTAGTTGTCAGTGTCCTCGTCCATAAAATGGAGGTGATAATAGTCACTAGTCTAAGGACTTTTGGTAATTACTGAGAATTAATATAGTATATTTGAAATCTCAATTTTAAGAAAAGTCTTAAAATGTTTATAGCTGGGAGATAGTTCAGTGGCATGAGTGCCTGCCTGGTAAGCACAAGGTCCTGAGTTCAATTCCCAATACCGTACACACAAAAAAAGTTTATAAAATTTAGTTATAAATTATAACAAATTATGTTAAATGATTAGGTCGGATTTCATCACAACCTTCTAGCTAAGGAATGGGGTTCAGGGAGATTACTGACCTTTGCTTTAAAATGAAAGTGGAAAAAAGCAAAATACATTTTTTTAAAAATTAATTTTATTGGGGCTGGTGAGATGGCTCAGTGGTCTAAAGCACCTACTTAGAACAAGCATAGCAAAGCACAGGGACCGCGGTTCAATCCCCCAGCACCACATGCCAGCCAGTGCCACCCCCTGGTGGGTTGAGCTGGCCACACACACACACATATACATAAATAAATAAAATTTAAAAAAAATTAATTTTATTGAGAAAGAAATAGTAGTGAGACAGTTTCAAAACAGGTTAGTAGGGCAGTTACAATAAATAATACATTGCATATTATTGGCTTCATAGTAGTTATTCATAGTACAAGATGCAGACATGATATCTTGTCTAAACACTATTAGTACAAATCTTTCTTCTTGAACTAAGAGAAAGTAGCTGTATATCTGTCCTAATTTGTATGTTTATATATAATTTTTTTCACTACAAAATGGTCTCTTAGTTATATCTTCCTTTTTTGTTTAGTTTTGTCAGAGATGGGTATTCCATTGCCATTCAAATATTATAGGTTCAAAAAACCAAAATTCAAGTGGAAAATGGAAAATGTACTAATACACATTTTCTTTTTTTTTTTTTTTTGGCAAAAACCGGGGTTGAAACTAAGCCCTTGCGCTTGCCAGGGAAGTGCTTATTCTACTGAGCCATCTACCCGGCCCCCTAATATTACACATTTTCATAAAGAACACATTATATTTTTGTATCTTTATGAGTAGGAAAACAACAAAATGTTGTATCTTATTTACTTAACTATAAGATTATTTCATGTACCAGAAGCTGTATCTGAATTTGGGAAGGTAACTCAATGGCATAAGCCTGTCCGGCAAGTGCAAGGTCCCAAGTTAGATCTCTGGTACTGAATGTCATGTGGGCCCCAAACTAGGCTTGGCAGTGCATTCCTGTAATCCCAGCAGTAGGGAGGCTGAGACAAGAGGATCACTGAGACAGGAGGATCACTGTGCCTGAAGTAAAGATGGTGTTATCTCTGTAAAGTGTACAGATATTATTACATTTAGATCTAGAATTTCCTAGTGATTATTAATTCACTTCATAGTTAGAGATTATAATTGTAAGATTTAAAGTGTAGTTTTTAGGGGGCCAGGGAGATAGCTCAGTGGAATAAGCGCTTCCCTGGCAAGCACAAGGGCCTGAGTTCAATCCCTGGTCCCGCCAATAAATAAATAAATAAAAGAAAGAAAGAAAGTCTAGTTTTTAGATACCTCCATTTATCCATTTTCATTTAATAATTATCATTTGAGCATACATTGTGAATGACACCAGGGAAACAAAGACGTATTAAGTACAGTCTTTTACCCTCATTGGACTTTTTCTGTTGGTAAAACTTAAGTTACCGATACTTTGTTAAATAGGAAAAATATCAAGCTTTTTTGTAAAGTAATAGAATGATATTTAAGGTGGTCCAGAGGTTATCAAATGGAATATTAATTGTGAACTAAAAGTACTATATTCATAGTGTAGTTTTTCTTTTAATAGGAACCTAAAAGGTGATCGAGTTATGCCAGAAGAAATAGCTCGCTACTATAAACATTATGTAAAAGTCATGGGTCTCCAGAAGAATTTCAGAGAAAATACTTACATAACCTCTGTGTCAAGACTGTACAGAGATCAAGATGACAGTGATAGTCAAGACAGAGATATTTCAACAGAGCATTTACAGATCGAGAAATCAAAATTTGTCAAGAGAAACTGGGAAATCAGAGGTTATCAGCAAATAACAGACGGTTCTCCTGTTCCCTTTTGCCTCTTTGCTGAGAATGTAGCTCTAGCAACTGGAACATTGGATTCTCCTGCCCATCTTGAAGTTGAAGGGGAAGATTTTCCCTTTGTGTTTCATTCGATGCCTGAATTTGGAACTGCTATAAGCAAAGGGAAATTCCATGGTAAAGTGGATCCAGTGTTAATTGTAGGTTCTGGACTTACTGCAGCTGACGCAGTACTATGTGCTTATAACAGTAATATTCCTGTGATCCATGTGTTTCGCAGACGAGTAACTGATGCAAGCTTAATTTTCAAGCAGCTTCCGAAGAAGCTTTATCCTGAATACCATAAAGTCTATCATATGATGTGTACTCAGTCATATTCTGCAGACTCAAACCTTTTACCTGATTATACAAGCTTTCCTGAGCACCATGTGCTTTCCTTTATGTCGGACATGAAGTGTGTTCTTCAAAGTGTCTCTGGATTGAAGAAAATATTTAAGCTGTCTGCAGCAGTAGTACTGATAGGTTCTCATCCCAATCTATCTTTTCTGAAAGAACAAGGGTGTTACCTTGGCCATAACTCAAGCCAGCCAATCACATGTAAGAATAATCCTGTGGAAATAGATGCCTATACCTATGAATGTGTTAAAGAAGCCAACCTTTTTGCATTGGGTCCTCTGGTTGGAGACAATTTTGTTCGATTTTTAAAGGGAGGGGCATTGGGTGTCACACGCTGTTTAGCTGTCAGACAAAAGAAAAAGCATTTATTTGTTGAAAGAGGAGGAGGAGATGGAATAGCTTAAAGCAAGTTTACAAATAATTTAAATGGACACTTTATCATTAAAGATTTTTATAGTGGCTTTGCAGTGTATTGGCTTACATTTTCTGGACCTGAATTAACTGGTGGAGACCCTCAAGATAGTAACTTTTTTATTGGCTACCAGAACTTGGTGTCCTGATTTATATTGTAATGTATCCAAAGTGTGTCACACTGCCAACTCAGTATACTTTAGGCTTTCTTAAACATTCTTTTTCTTCCAAAACTTTTTTGTGATCATTTTTTGTTATTATTTTTGATTCTAAAATAGTACGGCATGAAAGCTGTAAAACCAAACAAGCCACCTTGCTTCTCAAAAAATGACTTAAGGACAAGTAGTATCAGCTTCATCCATAGTCTGTTAGAAATGAAGACACTGCAGGTCCCACAGTATAATCAAAAACTATTCTTAAAAGAGCTCCAAGGGATAGGTTTGTTCGTTAAAGTTTCAGAGATATGCTGATCTAAATGGTAATGGGACATAAAGTATGCTGGGGTGGGATAAGGGTAGGAGGCATTTTCAACTCAGGTTTTATTTATTTTGAAATTATCACTTGTATAAATCTAATTTATTACCAAATATGATGGCCTTTTAAAAGTATTTTTATTGTTGAAAACTCAAAAGGTACTTCATATACTTAACTTCTAATAAGTTAAACATTCCAAAAATGTTCCTATGTACTGTGACATCCAAGAACCCACCAAGATGTTTTTTGGAGGTTTATTATCTCAACCAGCATAACATCTAATTTATCTGATTTGCAATTCAATAAATTGTGGATGAAAGTATTTATTACTCTGCTCTGTGAACATTGAATTAATGTCACTGAAACTAGGTTTGGGGCATGAAAAGTACTACTAAAGTTGTAATACTATTTGGGTATTGTCAGAATTAAAGCTTCATATGGAATGTAACATTAAATTTTCTTTCCCATTCTAGAGTGATTACTTTGAGATCTGTAAATGTATTTTTTCACTGATGATGACAGCAGCTCATACCATGATTTTTATTCATTTTATTTTTTCTAATCTTCATTTAAATTTATTGTGCATAGTATCTGTATTTCTGCACAATCCCCAGAATTTTTATTTATTTTTTGGCAGAACCGGTGATTGAACTCAGGCCCTTGCGCTTGCCAGGCAAGTGCTTATTCTATTGAGCTATTTCCCCGGCCCCCCAGAATTTTTAATGTTAGAAAAGTCTTCTGAAGTTTGCCTTGCAAACAAATTTTCAGCCCCCTCCCCTCATCACTTAGTTACTTCATCTGGAATGTGCTCATTAGACTTCTAGTTCTGTTGTTCGAATTAAACACAGTAGACAAACATGGCAGTATTTTTCTGTCCATTATTTTGCAATGCTATGTGCTGGTTTACTAGGATTATAATTCACTTTAAATATAATTGTTCAGAGTATATTTGCTTCTATCACATGATCACTTAAGTGAATTCTTAAGACTCTTGGTAACTGTCAAGCCTGATATAATGTTCTAAACTGCAATTCAGTTTTAGTTTCCTCTTACATAATTTTCAAACTTAACTGACATCTTACAGAAATGGTATGACATTTTATTACTGCACTTGACCCGGTATTCTTCTCTCAGTCGGTTACTTTTCATGTCACTTCTGAATTGAAAATGACATGTTATAAAGATGGTTACTAGTGAAAGATAAGACCCATCCAATCTCAGTATATCTCTAAGGTCTGCTTTAACTCATCCAATAGCATTTTCATGAGAGTATTCATTAAAAAAAAAAAAAAGACTTTAGGGAATCAAAGTCCTAAATAAGCTGGGTAGATAACTTCATCTCTAATAACCTATAATTTTCCAAGTCTCCTTCAGTCCTAGCAATCCTGTGTAGCATGTAACACACAAGGCATTTCTCTGATGTACAGTACTATACTGTATTCTTTAACCTTTTTTTATCCTGTAATTCCAGATTTTTCATTACTCTTTTAAATATTGATTGGCTATTAAAGGACAGGAATATTAATTAAATACTTGACTATTCACAGGGTAAGCAAACATCTCTTTCCTATTCCTCCTAGTTTGGCATATGAAAATCGTAATATGTTTTGAAAGAATATTTATAAAGCACAATTTATTGGTGATTTTTCTTTTTTTTTTTTTTTTTTTGCATTCAGTACAGGGGATACAGAATCTCACTACATAGATCAGACTCAGTGATCCTCCTGTTTTCAGCCTCCCAAGGGCTGGGATTACACGTGCTCACCACCATACCCAGTCTCAGACATCTCAGCGTGCCCCGTGGGTGGGGCCAGCACAACATGCTGGGGATTGGGGATCGAACCCCAGCTGCTGTGCTCTGCCTAAGCAGGCACTTTAGTCTGCTGAGCTATCAAGCCCGCCCTGGTGATTTTTCTTTTTTAAAGCATGCAATATAAAGTCAGGTTCACAGTGCTTTCAGTGTTTTTTGTAGCTTGAGTATGTGAGCCTCATCCAACTTTATTTTCAAAATCTAAGAAACTAATGTTTCCATGGCATCAAATTATAGTTGACAAGATTTTTTAAGAACCCTGAAAGGTATTTTCAAGTATGTCAGTAGGAAGTGGTGCAGAATTCTAAGTCCTGTGATTAAACGAGAAACAAGACCTGTTACATTCATATTTCTGGAGCATCCCCAAAATGAAATGAAGATAGACTAAATATCATTTAAAAATTAACTTGGTTCTAGGACACCTTGTTTCGTGAAGCCATTTTGATCACATCAAATCATGATTTTTAAAAATCCACTGAATATATACCAAAGGGGAAAAGGATCAGGGTCCCCAGGGTTAGGCTGAAGAGGATGTGGAAAAAAGCGTTGAATTGCCCTCCATCCAGGTTTTTCAGGAAAAAGAAGGATTAGGGCAAAAAGGTGGGTGAAACCATAGAGAAAACCTTAAAAGGATGATTCAGTGATAATGGGATAATAGTATATGCCCTTCACTGTAGTCAACTGTAAAACTGAATAGTAACCAGTATCACAGTGCGTAATAGTCCAAGACTGATTTTAAGAACAAGGTGGTAATGTATAATCCTGCCTCTCTGCTTAAAGGCACCTTGCAAGCTAATGGAAGTGTCTTGGTAGAAAACCAAAGATTCTTGCTGGGATTTGTAAGCCTTGGTATTACATAGGAGCAAGTTGCTGCACAGGAGGAAGTTGTACTGAGATCCCTGCAGAAATCTGCATAAAGATTTCTTTAAGTCTGAATGATAGATGTGCAGAGATGAGCAAGTGTGAAATAGGGATCAAATAAGGGATACCCGAAGGATGCAGTTCGCAAAGACTCTGGACTTCCGGCCAGCCAACAGAGCAAGACTTGCCAGTAAATGAACCACCTGCCCACACGAAATGATGCTTTTTAAAGAAAGATAAAATCCAGACCCAGTAAATGGCCAGTGTTCAGCAATAGTAAAAATAGGTGAGCTGATGAGAAAATATTACAACCAGGAGGAAAAAGCAAAGGAATCAAAGTAGAACTGGAAATCATACAAATGTTGCTATGAGAAATTACTTCTGCACAGTTAATGTACATTCCAAAAAGTCAATGAGTGAAATTTCAAAATACTTAAAATCTAATTTTAATAATCTAATCTATGGAAATTATATAATTAACTTTCAGCTTTTAATTACTGTTCACCCAAGTTGTTTAGGAAATAATCTTTGGTCTTTTTAATTTTAGCTCACTTTGTAGCCCAGGCTGGCCTCAAAACTTTTAGCAGTGTTCCTGTCTCAGCTTCCCTGATTGCTGGGATCACAAGCATGCATCCCCATGTCCTGCTGAAAATATATTATTAAAGGAAAACTTCATTGAATCATTTTTAATAACATAAAGAACACTGAAGCCTACCAAGATGCTGCATGCCTATAATTTTAGCACTCAGCAGGCTGAGGCAGATCAGTACAAGTTTGAGTCCTGTCTGAACTACACAGCAAGACCCTGTTTCAAACCAAAAAATATAGACGCTGAAGAAAACAATACATGATAATGAAAGAGAACAGTCTTAGTGCTACTTGTCACTAGGATAAAACATCTGATGCAAAGAGATTTATTGGAAAAGTTTTAGAAGTTCCAGTCCATGATCAGCAGTCTCAAAAAGATGACATGGTGGAAGGGCTTGGGCAAGTGAGTGCTCATGTCATGGTGGTCAAGAGGCAGAGCTCAGAGAAGAGCCAGGGAGGGAGATGCCCCCTTGCAGCACACACCGCCAGTGACCCATTTCTAACCAGGCCCTGCCTCATAAGAGAAGACTCAGCTGCAATCTAGTCCCTGTAATCCAGTCATTTTCTTAAGGGGAAAACTGAACTCAAGGCCATAATCTTTTTAGAGCTAAACCATAACATACTGCCCCTGGTCCCAAAAGACACATGCACAACTCTTCATATGCAAAAGTCCTTTAGTCTATCTCTAAGGTTTTGCTAAATCTTAACAGTTCCAGCATTGCTGAAGACCAAAGTCTGTCTTCTGTAAGACTCAAGGCAAACTCGGCTGAAAGCCACTGTACAAATAAAAAAGTTAAATGCTACTGACATACAATGACATAGGATAAATATTCCCATTGCAAAAGGGAGAAATACTGGGGTAGAGGGGAATGAGACTGAAGTAAAACCAAAATTCAGAGAGGCAAAAATTAAATCCTTTAGCTCTGTGTTCTTAACCCAGGGCAAGTTACAATGAAACATGAACTCAGAACTGATAGGTCAGGATTCAGTTTTCCAAGCACGGGTGAACTATCTCCATGGCACCGTAGGTTGCAGCCATCATGGCCTTGTTCTTCGGTTGGCTCTGCTCAATGACTATTACTTTCTTCAGTGAATGTTCCGCATTCCTGAATCCTCAAAATTCCTGGAGTCTTTTTTTTTGGTGGAACTGGGGATTGAACTCGGGCCCTTGCACTTGCCAAGAAAGTGCTTATTCCACTAAGTCATCTCCCTCGTCCCTTCCTGGAATCTCAAGTGCACTTTCAGCTTCACCCTCACAGCTACACACTGGCTGACCTCCCAGGCCTTCTGAAATCTGGGTGGAAGCCTCTGACCCACACTTTGTATTCTGCACTCCTGTAAAACCAGCAACACAGGGGTGACACCAATATTTGCTGTCTGCTAGAGCAAGTCAGGTCCCCTTGGATCATGGCTATAAGGTCTCCAAGTGCCTAGATGACTGAGCACTATAAACTGAATTCTAGAGGATTAATTCTTTATGTGGCTCTTCTCCAGCTTGGTGTCTTGGGGGTTCTCAAAGAAAAACTATAAAGTTTAAGCTGGGCATGGTGACACACACCTGTAATCCCAGCACTCAGTTGAGGTAGGAAGATCACTGTTAAGTTTGAGGCCAACCTGAGCTACATAAGTGAGTTCCACTCCAACTTTCACTACATAGTGAGATCCTGTCTTAAAAAGCAAGAACAATGTTTACCTTTATCCTTTTATACCTGAATTAGGGAAAAAGTGGAGTCTTGGTGATTCCCGAGACCTTCATTCTTGAGATGCCTGTTCTGACTGAAAGTACTTGGCTTCTTAAAATTTTTTCAGCGGTTTTGCTCTATAATGTCTTGGGCACATTCTTTTTGGCCAAACTCAAAATTTTTTTAAAGCATTCAGCGATCTGTTCTAGATTCTTAATGTAGACCTGGCTGGAAGCCACCAATAGTGCCCACCCATACCATAACCTAATGCCTTGAAATTTCCTCAATTAGATTAGTTTAGCCTATCTCCCTTAATCTGTCTTCCACATTCTCAGGACATGAGTAAAAAGACAAATTTTCTGGCAGCTTCAAGTCTAACTCGCATTGGAGTTCATGTGTCTAACTTAAACCTCACGAGCCTAAGCCTTAGCCTTGTCTTTACTGTCTGCATTACTGCCAACTTTCTGGTCTTCTGAGTGCTGACCACAATCTGTCAAGCTCGGCTTTCAGCATTGTGTGGCAGGTGTAGTCAGCATCTCCAGCCCTTTCTAAATGATTCCCACAAACCAGTTACAACAGCTTCTGAGTCAAGTGGCCTGCTAGTCAAAGTAATAGTGCCACTTTCAATCCCAGTCTGCACTTTGACTATACAGGAACAGATTCGGTATAAAATATACATATAATTATACATGGGATTTATGTAGGATTATAGAATCAGAAAAATCCCTATGACTGCTGGATCAGGCCCAAATGAAACTGGCCATTTATGCCCTGGGGAGCTGGAAGATCTAGTAGCAGTCAAAGTTTGAAGGCCCAAAATTTCACTGTACAGTCACTGGTGTGCGTCTGTGTTGGAAAACCAAAGAGTATGCTCTGGAAGGCTAGAATCTCTGACCTAGATCTCTGAAAGAACTGGAGACCAATTCCAAGGGCAACAGTGAAGACCAGAGTTCTTCTGAAGGGAAGTCATTCTTTCCCTTCTTATTCTGTCCCAGGGACAAGCCTACTAGTCGCTGCCATGTACATTCAGGGTGGGTCTTCTGCCCCTCATTCTGTACGCCTACACCTCCAAACACAGAATTCACAAATTTGCTGGGCAGTTGCTACTCAAGTGGACTGCCACATTTTTAATGGCAAAGGCAATCCAGATATTGGCACATCAAGACCAATTACAGCAACAATTAGGCCACTCTGGCAACAGCAACAAAATCAGAAAAAATAATAGCATCAAAGTACCAATAATGTACCATCCTTAACTGTAAAGGAGAGATGTATAACTATAAGGTGAATACTGACACTCAAATATCAGTAAAATTTGTAAATATCTACTAAATTGAACAATTATACCTCTAGTAACTAACAATTCAACAGTAGCAGCATAGTTAACTAACTAATAAAGTTTAATGTTTATACTGGTATAAATAGGGATCAGGAATGGGAGAATAAGTAAAATTTGAAAAATTAAGCAATGGAAGATAAGGAGAGAAAAGTGAAATAATACAATTGAGTAAAAGGAGATTAATAGAATTAAAGTAACAGAAAAAAACAAGAACAGAGGGGAAAAAAAGTTAAAAGGAAAATAAAGCAAAAAGAAAAAGTCCACTCCCCTCAAATATAGTGCACAAAGAAAAAAAAATGAGTCAAAAAATAGAAAGTCCCTGTGTATTTTTTTAATGGTTTCTTTAGATGTGCAGTTGTGAAATTCTGTGTTACTGTTTTTTCTTCCTTTTTGGCTGTGTATTTGTGAGATGCCTTCCGGCCCCGTTGGGCCCCTTCATCCATCACCCCGGCTGTGGCAACCAGCCAAGCTGAGGCACATCCTTGCTGATGCTGATAGGGAAAGCAGCCGGACCACTTATTGCTGCTGGATGACAGCAGTAAGGTGGGAGTTGCCACAGACCACTGAATTTAACACACTTTTAAGATTCAGTTATAAATCTTCAGTTATAAATCTTGAAGTGCTGGCATTCAGGCAGGGAGGCGACATTTGGCCTGGCTTCTCATCATGGAGGGAGGAGGGCCCTGTCCTTCCCTGCCTGAATTTATTTATTATATTTTTGGTGGAACTGGAGATTGAACTCAGGCAGGCCCTTGCCAGGGAAGTACTTATTCCACTGAGCCATCTCCCTGGCCCCTCCTGCCTGAATTGAAACTTCTCATGGGGCCTACATCTAGCCTGAACCCTCTTCATTACTATTTCTGTTGCAGTCACTGTGGCAGGGTAACACTGGAAACCCTAAGAAGTGGTTCTGTGGCTCAGTCAAACTATTATGTGCCAGGCCTCACCAGTGGCTGTGGGTGTCTGCTTCTGGGCTTCCAGCAGACCCTTTAGGATTCCAGTACAGGCTCTTCAGCTGTCCAATGCAGACACTTTGGCTTCCTAATCTGGACTCACATGGGAATCTGCAGGAGCCCCTGGTCTGTGACTACATCTTCCAGCTCTCCAGTGTGCCACTGCCAGGGGCCCTCTTAAATTCCTCTGCCCCTGACTGTGCAAGGGGCCACCCTTTTCTATATATACATGCAAATTTTCTTCACTGTTCCTGACACATGCTTTCTCCATTCAGATGAGATCCAACTATAAGTTTAATGAAGTGCTCCACATTTCTTAGGTTCTATCATTAGAATAATACATAGGTGACATGTTAATAACTGAAGCCATTCATTCCATCTGAGACACATCCATTTTTTTTTTCTTGCGGTACCGGGTATTGAACTCAGGACCTTTGAGCTATCTTCCCAGCACCCCCTAAAAATGTTATTATGCCTATGAGCTTCCTATTACATGAAAAAGAACAACATGCAGAACACTGCATATATTAGACTATCATTCGGACAGGGAATTACTGAAAACATGATCTGTACAGGAACTTGAATAGGAATTAAAACTCTGGAAAGACTAACAAGAAATAAGTATCACAGATTTTGTTCTGAAGGGAAGAAAACAGGAGAACAGTAGAAGGGAGACTTAATTTAAAATGACAATGTTGACTATGAGAGATGACATGGCAAAGACTAAAAACAGAACAATACTTATTACCACATACAAAAGAAATAGTTTTGTGCATTTTATTAAACAAATTTGTCTCTTTTATACACTGTGTTCATGTACCTCAGCCTAAAGTAAATGTTTGCTGGGAAGTTTGTTTTTTCATAATTTCCTTTCAAAGTTCTCAATTATCTTCTCCTTTTTACATTAGGATTATACCTATAAATTAAAAAAAAATGGGGTTAGATGACATTTAGACAAGATAGTTTATTTCTTTTACTTGTAAAAGTGATACTTTGGGAAACAGATTGCAAATTTTGTCCTCAAAATCAGATAATGAACAGACAATCCCATATTTTCTTTTTTTTTTTTTTTTTAACTTTATTTTATTTATTTATTTTTGCGTGTGTGGCCAGTTCAGCCCACCAGGGGGCAGGGCTTGCTGGCATGTGGTGCTGGGGATTGAACCTCGGTCCCTGTGCTTTTGCTTAGCCTAGCTTGTTCTAAGTAGGTGCTTTAGACCTCTGAGCCATCTCACCAGCCCCCAATCCCATATTTTCATTCACAGTGGTGCCTCATTTCAAAAACACTTTTGTTTGCACACACTAGTTCACAAACAGATGCATTTGTCAAAGTTTTGTTTTCGTGTGCAACTATGAATCAGGTGACTACACTGACACGGGACTGTAGGCATCTTTCACACAAACACAAATGTGGCCATCTTTTCCAAAACCATGAAACAAAATATTATTATTATTATTATTTATGTATTTAGCACAGGGTCTACAGGTTTTACAGGATCTCACTATACAGATTGGACTTGTGATCATTCCTGTTTTTTCAGTCCCCCAAGTGCTGGGATTACAGGCAAGCGCCACAATGCCCAGTCTCCAGCGCTGACTCAGTGCACCCTGGGAGCCAGATTGACCTCCTAGCCCTTGCATCTGCCTAAGCAGGTGTTTTAATCCCCTGAGCTATCTGGCCAGCACAGAACAAATTAAATTCATTAGATGAGGTCCTACTGTATTCTCTTGATGTTACTCTGATGAATATTTGGTAAATATTCGTAAAAACAAAACATGATCAATAAAGATTGCATAAAACATCAAAATAAAATAGCAGCTTAAAAATTGAGTGTAGGGCTGGGAAGATGGCTCAGTAGAATAGTGCTTGGCTGGCAAGCTCAAGGGCCTGAGTTCAATCCCCATTTCC